CGCTAAAGCTCTGATGTAATGTTTATAAAAAATCAGTATGTGCACCCCATCATGGATAACATCACAGTTCTTATACATATAAATAAATAAAATGATGCTAAAAAAATACTAAACTAAACTAATGGGGGAAATACAGTTACATTATAAACTTAATCCACACTTGAATGGAATATCCACAGATGAAATATCTAACACCTGCAATTAATTATTCTTTGATTTTCGTTTGTCTATAATTAATCCTTTTCAAACTTAAGTCAATAAAAAATACAGTAGTGATCATTCCGGGTTAGATGGTATGAACGTAAATAAACATAAAGAAACTTTAATTGGGTATTGAATGACAAAATAAGGTAATATAAGCATGGGGAAATGGTACTTTGATAAATTAGGTTCGATATATCTTATCTGTGCATTTGTTGCCGATGACTGAAGGGATGTTTCTATACATATACTGAAAGACTGCAGAAAGATTTTTTTATAACTTTATAAAATATACGTCAGGAGCACCCTAATAAATGACGAAAGTCAGTTCATCATTAAAAAAAAAATTAAAAAAATTGCAATAACAAAAAAAAAATGTCAAAAAATTAGGTATTCTTGAGACAAACAAGCTAAGAGGGAAAGTATAAGGAACTACATCAGAAGAAAATGAGAGCCCTATTAGGGCAAAATATTGATAAGTGACTATTTAAAAAAATTAAGTTCTATCAAAAGGTCTTGAAAATGTGTTTCCTGGTTTGGTAAACATTCGTTTTAAATACTAGGGACTCAATAAAATAAAAATTTACAAATTTTTCTAACCTAATCTGTTTCTATTTACGACAGCTTAAGAGATGGCAATATTTTCACATTCAGTTTGAAACATGATATTGTACATAATTTTTTTATAAAATATTTTATGCATTCCACACATTCACTTTATTTCACACGTTAGTCAGTCACAAATTGCAGCTAACTAATAAATACGCAACATTATTGGCGTTATAAAATAAACAGTGTGACACTTAATATCGCCATGCAATTTTAGATGCAGTTATAAATTCCACGACCTCTGACCCTTCGATTTTAGATTGCCGCAACGAATATCCTGACAATCGACACGCCCCTAATGAGGACTGTTTTAGCGACAGCCAGTATGTAATTGGCAATGTACCCACATAGACAATACCAAGGGGGACACTAATGGAGTGTAACACTACGAGTTCTCACCAAGTCACCAGTCCATAGTGTACCTTACTTATTTCTGACATAATTATGTGAATCTAGTCACCTATTTTAAAAGTATAACTTGTCAGAATATAGTTGGTACATTTACGTCTTACTGTAGGTATTTCGTCATCATAATTAATTTTAACTATTGTTGTATTACTTAAAACTGTTTGAAGTTAAGAAAGTACGAGTTTTCTACAGAAAATACGATTTTAAATACAATGTAATCACGGAAAACAAGTCGTTATTGGATTTATCGATATGAGCAATCATAGTTCTATTGTTTTTGTAGTCTAAAACCGAAAGTGGAGTTCAGTGAGCCATTTTCATTTTCATTTTCGCTTTCCATTTTTTTAATGTAACCATCATTAATCATTTTGAAAACCACTGTTCACATATCTTTTATGCATGCGCACCAATTGCCAAATCATATGTCAAGGGAATTATTTAGCATGAGAACTGCAAGTTAAATCTAGTGGCTTTTGATTCATGAGGCTTTTAATCAATCTAAAATAAATTCTTGTCAATATTTGTCCCAGTCAATTTGTAAACAACACCCACATGATATTATATAATTTAAATATAGTGAGGCTACAGCAATCGAATAGAATCAAATGTGGGCAGCAAGCACTTGAATCTATATAGATTATAATTATAATAATATAATTGTTTTTAATTTATTGGCAACATAAAGAATTTTATAGAAGGAGCTGTTATATTATGTATTTAAAGTTTGATATTTGTATCTCCAAGTGGACAATAGACTTAAACAAATATTTAACTTTATTCTAAGCAAAAAACAAATTTTGTTGGTTCAAAAGATAATTCAAATAAATTATGGATATTGGAAGCTTTTTCCAGATACCTCCGAAACCGTATTCAACATTAGTTCCACCTATCATATTTATTAACTACTACAGAGATACTTGAGAAACTCAAATATTTTTTCAAATTAATTAAGTTAAATTCGTTTAATAGATCCATGTTTGCTGATCCTAATAACTAAATTGTGCTAAAATAAAAATTTAAATAAATTTTGATATTAGTTGACTTTGCAAATATAGAATATAAATAAATATTAGCGCCTAGATAATAAGTATAATTAAACATGTAAAAACATGAATTGAAAAACATTATTAATTAGATTAACAAACAAACCCTACAATGACATTGGTGTATATTAATTTATTGTTATGCAAATCTATTCACAGAGTCACAGATCATCAGTTAATGAATTTGATTGTTCGAATTGTTTAACAACGTTTTAAATACTTAGAATTACTTATCTTGATTCATGTGTGAATTTTTAATTAGAATCATTCTAGAACGAGATCGTTATTAAATCAGTTCATTCTTGCCGCGCTTTTATTAGTAATACGATGACGCACTGTAGTTTCTGCTCCAAGTAAAAAACAAAGATAATTTTTATTCTATGTAGGACGATGATTTTGCGGATTGTTATCCCGTTTCAGGTTACAGAATTACATTTCATTTCCTTAGCCTTAGCTTTGGTCTGATGGTATAAAAATCTAATAAGCATTCGGATAAAAATATCAGTTGAAACAAGAAAATTGAGATAATTGAGAGCGTTACAGGGATATACTAAAAGAATATCTTCGATCTATATTGATAAATGTTGACACCATGTTGTTGAGATGATGCGACTTGTCACACATCTCGCCAGACAATCGATTTATTGCAACAACAGTTTCTTGGATGGATAATTTCAAGAAATACTAATGTCAAATGGCCACCTCTTTGGATTTTTTCTTATGGGTTTATGAAATCTTTGGTTTACAGAAATAAGCTATGTATAACAAACAATTCCTGAACTTAAACTGAATACTCAACGCACAATTGAAAATATGCCACGTGGAATGTGTAAGCAAGTTGTCGAAAATTAGATTTTCAGAATGAAGTCGAGGAGGATAGATTTAAACGATATCATTTTTAGAATACCTGTATGCTGTATGCCATCGATTTCAAAATAATATAAGCATTATGGTATTATAATTTGCAGTTATTATTGTGCCTCACTTACACACTTACTGGAAAACCCTTTATGCCTGAAGGACGTCACTGTCCATTCACGGATAAGCTACGCGCTGGACCCAGATTTGCATGTGGAAGAATAAATCGTGAAACGCCCAGGTCGTACCAGAAAATATTTCATTGTATCGACGAGCCAAGGTATTGGAATGAGTCATGGTCGTAAAATGGATCAGCTCCGAAACATTTGTAAACATCGGAAGCGTGCTCTTCCTCTTGTAATTGGTAAAAAATGAGGGGCAATAAAAAGTCTTTCGCTGCAGCTTTACGGCTCGTAAACTGTTGCTTAAAAATCTATTGTCGCTTTCTAAGAATAACGTTTGTTTGTGTGTAACCTTGTTGTTATATTTGGTATTTGTTACTCAGTTTTGAAAACAATGTGGAAGGCTTAGGCAATGTTTATATTTGGCTTCCTTGTTCACTTTAACAAGCGGCTCCCTTTAGGCGTTTGGAATAATAAATCGTTTTACTTTGTTGCGATAAAATTTGTTAAAATATTATTCATTCCGGAATAATATCCTTCAATTTATTATTCTTTTATTAAACTTGGGTTATGTTCTCGAAGGGCATTGACATTTTTACGTATTCTTTTTTTTAAATTCATTAGCAAAATTATATTAAAATTAATGACTACTACTGATTCCTGTTGCAAACGAATAAGAGCCAAAATGATATAATTGTGGTTCTGTATGAATTTTAAGTTTAGTCCGGTTCGAAGGACCATAAAAGCGTACCAGAATCGCGGTGTACATGTCATTAACAGTTAGTAAAGGGAATAAAGTACAAATAATTATTTTTTCTTAAATGTGCACTCAGAATGTGTATACTTGGAATTTACAACTTTCTTCCAATATTGTAACTCTCAAACTTTTCTTTTGAAGACGTTGTAATTTCCAAACATATTCTTAGTAGATCTATTTAACAAAAATTTGTATTTGATCTTAGTTTGTTTACTTACTATGTTAAATCTATATTACTATAGTTATAAACTGAAACATTCTGTATACGATCGATTTTTGATGTATAAATATCCTTATAAAGTGGACTGCACTCTTTTCCGGTAATGGTAAGTTGAGATTTAATATTACGTCTTAACCAAATCAGAATCAGTAAACCTTTATTCGTTACTGCTGTTGCTTACAGGAACTAGACATATTCCATCCTCGCTGAAATTTATTCCGACTTCCAAAATATTTTAACGCCTATATTTAGATGTTTAAAGATAGTAGGTATATTAAAGCATACTGAAACTGTAATTAGGTACTGAAATCATTGTTATTTTCGTTGCAGGATTTACTCTTGCACTGACCAAAATTCCACAAAATTAAACACCAGATGGACCTGAATAATTGCTCGAAACTCTAAATTTAGCCACAATAATCAAGATTTAACGAACCAAATGCACATTTTAATTTGTATGCACTGTTTAATCTCGAATTGGTGCAGCAAATATATCTCTTCGCGCATTTATTTATGGATAAAGAATGTAAAAGGGGGACTACTACTGATCTGCAACGGGTTTGATATAATTATATACTTCATAAATGTTTCAAATTCAGTTGCAGAATTTTGTCGGACAAAATTTAGCTTTTCAATAAATCTGTGTTGAACTTCGTTCAATGATTGATGAAACATAAAGAAAAGCTTAATGATCACTGAGCACTGACAGAAAAAACACTGATCCTAATAATTTACATGATTCCACAACATCATTACCAAATCTTCAGATTAACATTACTTACATAGAAATAAAGTTGCACCAGAACCCTCTTTTTGTATTGGCATATATTGTCGTACTTGCAACATCCTGTGTCTTCACCACATCGATGCAATACCGTGCAGTGAGGAGTGTAGGTTTTCGTTGGATCAGGATGTTCCTTCTGTACAGGAATCACTTTTGGCGAAGGACTTCTACACCTGCCTTGCTGGTTTACCCGCTGATTATGTTCCAGAACTGCTTTGACTTTGCCTCCATCTGAAAAGAAGACGTGCTGTAATTATTTTAATACTTAACGTAGTTGCATGGACATTAGTTTTATCCCAACGTAATATTTTCTGAAAGTTAAAATAATCTGGAAAAATGGTTCTCGATGGCTTACTTCAAATAGTGAAAATAATGAATTATATTTAATTCCATAAAATCTTTACTTTTATTAAAAGTGCAACTTCGTAACTTCAAAAAGAACATTATTGTACTACTAAAGGTCTTAATATATCAACGAAATTATTTAATATATAATTATATTCCAATATATCTTTGTTTGATATGACCTATTATGCATGCCGCAAGTGAGAGTTTAGAACAGACTTTTCCTACATATGAATGTCTGCTGATAACAACTCTCTGATACCCTGAGCTGACAGGAGTGTTGCTGTTCAAGATATTTATATAGTATCACCATTAAATAAAACAGATGATATGTATGGAACCCCATATTTGTGTCCGCGTAACCTTCGTAGGATTAGACTGAGAGCTAATATTTATTATAATGTGTTAGCCCAGCTCTACGGAGATGCTTGTCAAAATATCCATCACTTGTTAAAATTCCTATGACAGTCCTAATGTTGTTTCTGCGTGGCATACCGATGGTTCTATTGGCGTCAGCCCATAACATTCTTGCCTATCGCAAACCAAATTCACTCAACTATTCTACTGTTGATAGCTCTTACATATATTTACCAATGAATCTTGTTAAATAAAATTGAGGTAGTTATTGATTCTAGACCCATAAATTGACTATTTGAACCTTATTTGGCCAACATGTCGGCCATTTCACTGTCTTTCGCATTATGGTGAGGTTAGCTACACATGATTGTCTCCATGCAATTGAGGTGGTATTGTGGATCACCTCATCATCAAAAGCAGTTTGATAATCTGTACGTGTTTTACATGTTGATTAAATTAAATCTAGATTTGAAAGAGTATAATAAAAGTATGAATGAAATAAGTAGTTCGAGAGCCCTGAATGTCATTATAAGATCACCAGGCAAATTCCCATCAAGGGATTGTAAATTAAGACATCTTTCATGAGGAAGAGTCATAAATCCAAGAAGCAGTTCAGTGGTTCGTCTAAAACACGAAATGATACAGTTTTAACAAACAGATCTACGTATCATACTATTTATATGGACTAGTTTTTCAATAATTTTGGACACATGAATACTCTACTCTACTACATCTTTGTGATGGTAATAAAATTTGAAGTTGTGGCAAAAATTTATAAAACAACCAAAGAATAATAACGATTTACTTTCTAATCGATTATTTTCCCAAATATTTAAAAGGGGTTCAAAGAACGGAACTCGTATTTTTTATAAAAGGCCTTATGCACTGCAGTCTAGAAACTTTTTATTGTCTACAGCTGCACACATGACATTAATTTATTTTTAGCTTAATAACCATTATTGTTATTGTCTGAAATAATGTAACAGTTATGTACTTCGAGAAGTTACAACGCGACATATTTTATGGAACCCCATAGTCTAATGAGATTGTAGATGTCCATGCGGTACTGCAATAAACTTGAACCATACTTCAGCTATTTCAGGTTTCAGACTCGAAATTGACCATTCATTACTTACTTCCCTGTTTCATTGTTCACGTTTTTGTGATGTAAAGTCACGAAGGCATAGACACTTGAGGCAACGGCGTGGCATAATGAACCGACCAATCTATATTTGATTGAAGAGGTGGAGATCCTTCGCAAATACCTAAATGCACGACTGTAGAGCATCGGGATTGTTTACTTAATTGACGTAATGTGTCTCGGTGTGATTTATATTTTGTGCAATACTGTTTTTTTTCGCTACCCAACAGAAAGACAGTATTAGTTAGTTCCTATTTATTGATAACTTGATCTAAATAGATTTATTTTCATCCAAGAAAGTTGCCTTTGAGGGTTGGCCTATTAGTTAAAGGGGTTAAATATTGTTATTGCTATCAAAAAAATACATTGGCCATACAGGGCGTAACAATAACGATGTTACAATAATATATGACTTATTCGTGTTAAAATAAACAAAACAAATAAAAATAACATTTTTTCCTAAAACATTCTACGACGTTTAAAAAATTAAAGGGGGATTTAATCCATTACACGAAAACTATTGAAAACATATATTTCAAACTTGCAATTTTGTTGTAACAGCTACATGTAACATTTGAACAAATAATGACCTCCAAATTAGAAGGGGTTTGAGAAATCCAACTGTGAAAAAAAGTTATCATTTTACTGACGTGGGGATAGACCGTTTTCAAACAAAAACCTTGTGTCTTTTGAATGTGATAATGTCTCTTGAGTCTTTTTCATAGAATATCCCAACAGGTGAAATTCAATATCGTTTATAATTTTGGATACGTTCATACTTATATAAACGAAGTTATGTATGGCTGTAACATACAAATTAAATAAAATGAAAGAATAACTTCAAAAAAAAGTTTGTTCTGGGTACCACCTCGACCACCCGATTTGAATATCTATGATTTCCTATAGAGTCACCTTAAAGACGGACTCTGTCTAATAGCTTCAAACCTTATAAGTAATTTTAGGAAAATTGTTACTTTGCACGGAAAATACAAAAAATATCCAAATAAGCAGAAAAAACAACTAAAATATTCCACAAATGTGTGAAACCTAATGTAGCTAACTAGCAAATGTGTTTGTCCAAGTATCTCCTTTACTTTAAAATGTTGCAATTATAATATTAGAAAAGTATGTACAATTTTGATACTACGAGTACAACTAGTCGTCCTAGAATGGACGTGTTTGGTATAAGTACGTGGATTTTATTAAAATCACATCCTCGAAATTGTGCCGGAAGAAGGAAGCATAAAAGAAATATTTGAAATGCTTTTTAGTGTTACAATCCGCCTACTTCAATCTTCTAAATTTATTTCACATGCAAGGTAAAATATCTATTCTTTGTATGAGTTGCATTAGTTTCTGTAAATAATTACAGATCTTAATATAATCTTGTCAGGTTGATCAGTTCAGGTAAGTGAAATATTTATTTGACCTGGGAAGAAACCAGGTTGGATTAAAATAATTAAAATAATGTTTATTGAAACTAAAATCCGCCAAGGAATAGGTAAACGTGCATAGTGGCCTGTTAATGCTGAACTTTAAGTAAATTTATCGCTTTCATGTCGAGAATATCAGCTTTATGCACCTCTTTTATACAGGGGTTAGAAGTTTGACTGCCTTAATTTTAACAGACGATAGAATATATTAAAATAAACAAAAATACCTTATATGACATGGATTCTAAACTCAACCATTTCAGAGAAAAAAATGATCAAGATCTCGAATTTGATGTACAAAAGTTAAAAAACATGTGTATGGCAAAATGAAAACCTAACGTGATATAATTTCTAACTCTCTCACGTATATTAAGTTGTTACTATCATTATTATTACACAGATAATTTTTGTACATTTTCCTACCTCATAGGAGATAAAAAATATGTCTACGATCATCATAGTTATTACATGTGGATAAACACTGTGTCTACTACAACACTGCTATTATATTTAATAATAGGTCTCAGAATCATCAAGTCTACATCTTCATGCATTTTTTACACCAGTTTGTATAGGCATGGGTGATTATTACGTTTCCAATTTTAGTATATACTAGAAGTGCTCTGGTTTTCTTCAGTAGTTATTATTTTAGATCAAGTAGATAAACAAATTTATTGAAGAATTATTTTCATACAGTGTTATATAGGTAGTCTAAATAAAGTTAATGTTTAAATATACTTCTGACTTCAGTGAAGTTATCTGTTGCTATTTTTAGTGGTTTATAAACTTAAATAATTTATACTCAAAACTTGACTGAATTTGTTTACTATTGCTAAAAGGACTTTCATAGAAAAAGATAGCTAATAAAGACCAAACGCATGTTGCTTTAGAATCGGAAGATTCAGAAGTATCAGATGTGTATGCTCAGAAGACTCAGGGCATGTCTGTTTTTATGTTGAAATTTGGTTGAACACCGTAAATGTTTTTTAGTTATATAGAACAAATGTTTGGTTTATATTCGTTGTTCACTTATAAAAAATTAATATTTGGTTATTTTTACAGTTTTAAAAAACATATGATATTTGCCTTTTGCTAATTTGTTCTTGAGTTCCTCTAATACGATATTTCAAGGCATCCCGATCCCGAATATATAAATTTTGTGATTTGAATTCAAATCCCTTCAATTTCTTCATCTTTCTATTTTTTTTCTGTGGAAAAAATGGAAAAAAGACAAGAGTTCTTCAGGTTCTTCTCCGAATTGTCAGATCTCTAGACTCTTTACTGTATTTATGCAAAATTCCTAGCGAAAACCAAATAGTCTACGCTGTTATTGCAAGAACGATAAAAAATAATGTAAGTACATGTATAGGTTTAACGTTCTAATAGAAATATTTTCAGTTGACAGATTTGTTTCGTTAGATCTTCAAGATCTAGAATAAAACACACATTTTAAATTCTTTTCACGCTCATTACTCCCATCATTTCTCTGTCAACTAAACCTAATTAGTAAACAGTACCCCACACACCCCAGACGCCACAAAGTAAGCTAGCTAAAACAATGGAATACCAGTCACACTATTTATTTTCCGTCCAGCGTAACGCAGCAGAACACTAAATTATAGAGCAGGTGCAGGAAGCTGAAAGGAAGAAAGACATAATAATTAGATATCTGCCGGCTATCAAGTCGGCCGTGATCTTCGAATCTCAGTCGGCGGTTATCCTGAATTAAGTTCGTATAGAGTAGACCCCACAGAGACAACAATTTCCCTACTCATAACTGCCTAATCTCCTGATACGATCGAAATATGAACGTAACATGTGGTCGACTTCCAGACTGGTTAATAATTTGAGTAAATATAGTCAGCTAAATATACCGACGTTATAGCAATATTACAGACAATATAGCTTCGCTCCAGACCGCTACTGAAATAAGACAGCAGTTTTAAATTTCCGAATTACGGATAGATTACACCAACAGCAGAATTTTAGGGAGATTCAGTGCACCGGCCCGCATTCCTACGTGTACCCTAGCAACATATAAACAACAGTTTGGCAATGTTGTCACGCGTACTTACGGATTTTTTTATCAATACCTGTTTTTGCGTTACTATATTTACTTAAATGTATGACGGCGGTATTAATAAAAATGTTTTAAAGAATCAACGAATACCTATGTAGTTTCATATAATATTCTGCAGCAGTGTCACAGTTAAGTTATTTAATTTTCATTGTTTGGTATTGAAATACTACAGAAAAAGTATTTCCAAATAAACAAAATTCCTAATGATATTTTAAACAGCTTGTAATATAATTTTTTTAATATTTGATGATGATGATGATAAATTTAATTAATATACAAGGTGGATTTATTAGTATGTCGCGGAATGTAGGTTTTTTCTGTATTTTAACATCCACTTATAGGTTTAATATAATTAAAGACTTTAAATACAAATGTACGAATTTTCCTTTATTTCTTTTCACATTATCAAAATTTGCTGGCGTAAAATATATGTTTAAAATAACAAAATCATTAAAAAAAATTAAAATACTTGCTTGTAGAAATAATATACAACGATTTTAATTTATTATTTTATATTTGCTTTAAAAACGAATTCAGAATTAATTATCAAACATTTTGTCCTGTATTTTTTCTTTCAATACTTGTAAATTTTGGGGTCTTTAATAATATATTTTGTTGTGTCTCCACAAAAATATGTCTAAAGGACTGATCGGGACTGTTTTCTGGCCACCTAAAGTTTCTAATAATATTTTTTACAGTGTTCGTTGACAGGATTCGTTATCCAAAATAAATTTGCTTTTGCACATTTCTGTCATATTTGTCTGATTGTGTGCGAAAGAGACAGTGTGCGATAGAGATAGAGTAATTTTGTTGTCTCTCTCTGCTGTTTTCAGGAGTCTCTGGGGCTTCCCCAGCATCTTCAGGACACATAGGGAGGGGGCGTGGGGTAGAGCGCGTGGCCTTTTTAGCTTTCGTCATGGAGTTATGACGTCATAACGTATGAGAAAAAAAGACAGTTTGGAAATATAAACAAATCTCTCCTTGGTACTGAATAGAACACTCGGTGGGTAAGGCAGGACAGGCCGTCACAATATAAAAGTCTAAATTGCCAAGTGATATGAAATTTATCAGAAGAACTGTTTTAAAAAGGTTAACGGCAATGAAAAAGAATAAACCGATAATGACATAGCAATGGTCAAGAGTGGATATATTTATGTTTTGAGTGTGGGTGAGTTATAACCTACAGTCAATCACTCACTACCTACTGACGCAAATCATTGCATTTTACCTGCTGACAGATCTACTAATCTAGATGTACTAGCATCACTAGTGTCCCTTTAAGCGAAATGATGATATGGGAAACAACTATTCTGCAGGTCACAGCATTTGATGGGGTCAAAGTAAGACGATTAACTAAGTTTACGTCCATCCGATGTTACGTCGTTTACCCACTAGAAGGCACCAAAACTGGCAAAAATTTTCAGGGATATAGGGGACATAGGAGATTCCGTTCCATCATAGGCCATTCTTATTTTTCCACAAAGAATGACGTTAATTATTTCGCCGCTATATGCAGATAATTATTTGTCTCCATAACATACGTTTAGTATAATTACACAATGTAAAATTATAGTTTTCAAGCTGTGAACATATTTACAGTTACAACAATTAAACTTACACAGATGTACAAGTCATATCAGTAGTTGTTGATATTAAGCATAGGGAAAGTTGTTTAAAAACACAATTATAACTAATGGACTTAACTTTTATGTAAACACATAAGGATTTTAACCAAGCCTTTAATCTGTCATTATGCAATCGCATTGCAATGATGCGACTCACAATCATAAATTGTTATAATTAATGCTAAACATAAACTTCAAACTATTTTCTATGACAGTATAATGTACAAAATGAGTTATTAATCTACCTTGATATCGTATTCCACAGTAATCCCACATCCTATAGTATCTAACTAGTAATTAAAATAATTTGATCATTGTACCTAATATTCATGTATTCATGTATTATTCATTTGTTACCAACTTCGTCACCGTTTCAGCTTGTATTACAAATTTTACCGTATTTCTTACAAAAAAAACCGTTGTCTAAATTTGAATAATAATAATGTATAATAGTCAAATTTTGTTCAATGACAATAAAAGTATAGTAGGTAACAAAACTTAGTTACAGCTATAAAATTATGCTTTACAATATTCCAGTTTTCGCTTTCGCAAACATCTTCTGCATAAAAAATAGCCTTTTAGTGATACTGTTACTAGTACAAAATGTCAAATTTGGTATCAATTAATTACATTACAAATTTTTGTATTTACATGTTTACAAATTATAGTTTTCATAAATACTCAAACTACAAGTGAAGTGTATGCTGTAAAGCAAAATAAATGAAAAAGAAACATACACCAGAAGTAAATTTTATAACATCTTTGACTTGGTCATTGTTAAATTGAAATAATCTACGAATGCATGCCACAGTCTTCTAGGCACAGCCACTGAAAACCGATTTAAAAACCAACGATATGGTTTTTTTACTTTAACAGTTAGGCTAGTTAGGTTAACAATCAGGTCACACAAGAACAAATCCAGGCTGGTATGAAGCGTTTGTATGCTCTGGTAAGGAAGTCAAAACAATGTGACCCTAACTAGAATGATGTATTAGCCAGACCAAGCTCATCTACACCCCTAAAAAAACGTGAAGTGCCCTACCCCATTGCTAATTGTGACATTAAGACATACACTGTTGAAAGGTTTAAAAGTGACGATAAAAACCCCTGGACAAAGACCAAGCGAGAATTTCTTAAAAGGGCTATAAAAGAGTTGATCGCAGACCTAATTGAAGTCACTGATCAATAAGGATGGTAGGAGATAGATCTACTGTAAAGTAAAATAACTGAAAGCTAGTGATTATGCAAATGAACCACTGTTAAGACCGTAGAGTCTAATTGGAAGGTTAAAGTTATATGTGGACCTCTAAAATCATACAGGTCTGCAATATGCTAGTTATTTTTTGAAGATAAATACTTACATTCTGAATCTGTACCAGGATTGAGATGATTCCTTCGGGACTCCGCCACTCCAGTGGGACTGCCGAAATGTTTCCACTTGTACTCGGTAAAACTAGACATTGGCTTTGGAGCAACAGTGGGTCTTTCGGTTGGTTCTTCAGCTTGGATGTCTCCTAATTCGTCGAAAAATGGATCTTCCATGTCATCGTCGTCATAATCCCCATCTTCATCTTCCTGAAGCAAATACATACAGTTAGAAATTAATAGTTTAACGAATGACTGGAAAAGAATGAATATCTAATATGAAGTTATTTTAGACACCTTTTGTGAAATTATAGAGCTATATAATATTGGCCAGATTAAAACTATAGGTATAGGGCGTACGTTTTCGTGATGGAAAATAACATCATTAAATGAAAATCCTCTATATAGCTTCTATTACTTGGTTCGGCGCTTCTTTCAAAAATTGAAAATTATAAATTTATCCCAGAAAATTTAGAGTATTCTGTTTCTTAATGATCACACTCAAGATAAAACAATTATTAATTTGTGTATATTGATGAACAATTCGTTGTTTTGTGTATACGCACACCAAAACTAAAATTTATGAAATATCTACTAAATGATTTCCTAAGCCCATTTTGCTTTCGACTTAGTCGTTATAATACCACAGCCGACCTATCCAAAATTTTCATAAATTAGCAGTTAATATGTGCTAATGCTGCAATGGTAAGCATTAGCATGCATCTGTCTACTATTTCAGGATCTTGGTGGCTCATACAAGATATTTAATATTTCTTCATAGAAGAACGTTTTATTTCCGGACGAATTCTTAAAACTAAATTTTGTTACGGACGCCAAAGGAATAATTTACCTACATCATAACTACTTAAATCCCAAAATAAATAAACCAGCCGTTTTTTCTATTATTTGTTTAGCCCCACAGCCACCTACTTAATCCCCATAACACCTCGGTCGACATTCCTAAATTTTCATAAGTTAGTAGCTAAACGTGCTGTCGGTGTGGTGGGAAACATTAGTATGCATTTGTCAACTATTTTATAGGATATTGGTGGTTCATACAAATTTATTTCTTTGGAAGAGGGCACTTTTAATATGGATCCGTAAAATTTATGCAGTAGGTTTATTGTTATACTCAGTTTTATATAGAATCTTACTGTCGAGACACAAAACTAGAACATAGAGATCGTTATATTGGAATATGTACATTTTTGTTCATGAAATATTTAAAAAAATGTTTTAACGTATATTTTTAGGATTTTGTGGTTGCTGTATGATTATTGATTCCTAAGACACCCTATAGATCACTACCACGCTTTATATGCTAAAATTATAAGTCATATCAAAACAACTTCAAAATTCGTCTTTACGCCTATTTTCTATATATGTAATTGTAAATAGCAAAATCAAATAGCCACAATACAAGGTTCAGAGTCAATAGTAAAAGAATAACAATAAATTAAAATATCAGATACATGTAAAAAAGTATATTAATCTTATACACTTTTTTCTGCCCGGCATCCATTATTTATGTTAGTAAAGCTTATCTCGTTTCCATTCTCTCACTAACCATGTTGTTTACAGTGCAAGCTTACTGCTTTCTGACATACCTTCGAGGTCTCGTAGTCTACAACGAAATTGAAAGTGTAAATAGCAGCACCAAAGTGGCAGAACAAATACTTTACACTAGATCTGTTTTCATGACTAAGTGCGACATCATGCCATTGTCTGAATTTTATTTATTCAAAGTAACGTTGAAACTCTAAGAAGGTAACAAAGTTTACTAGATTTTACACCGTTTGCAAATTTCTCCATAACAGGGAAATTTCCCTAGAGTTGACAACCTTGGATGATGATCATCCTCTTTATACTCTCCCGATAATTTCTGGGGATAATATGACAAAGACATTATCATTCTGAAGGTGTGTGATCGTTTGATTGTTTCAAACGGCGGCTCCTTTCGTAGAAAGGTTGATAACTGTAAAACCATATAGAATATTTATCGAGGTTCTGATCTCATTCAATGGAACGCTAACGAAATTATTCAATTTGTTATTCGGGCATTACTCGCCCGAACGTGATTGTAAAAGCACCAGGTGCGGGTGAATTATTAAGAAATACACTGCTATGTGACCGCTGCATCGCATCTACATGAAAGAAATATATTAATAGTTTATTAGTATGGTTTTAATTAATCTGTATCCACACAAATTAATAAGCATTGACAATACAATATCGATAAACGTTCATAGGCACACAATGTCAGTGTTTTCCATCAATAATTTTAACTTCATTTTAAATATTAGCTGAACTGAAATGCTCTTTGGTCTTGTCAGTTATGTCCAACAAATTATTTAACATACTGATTGACACGAACAGGAAAATCTACATTGGTTTGTTAAAGCATATCTCACCAATCTCTAGAATCTCTAACAGTCCCCGAAAATTCAAATGCTTAAAGAATTAATATACATTTATTTACGAATATTTATACCTATATACTTTTTTATGTTAAAATTTTCATACACAGACTAGTTTTGCAGTTCTTAACTCGTGGGAACTTACGATTGAATAGACCTTTACAACATCAGAAGATATTAATAAAACAATCCATTCCTCGTAAAGTCACATTTATTCATACTGACTTATTTTATTTTCTGCCGCTCGGTATCAAATAATATATTTGCAAGAGCCCGCTCCAAGTGTTAAAAAACACAATAAACCCCATTACAAGCCTCGGACAAAATTTATGACTGAATTTAATGCGTCGTTAAGTATCTGATATTATTGATATTAAAACTGAAACGTTGACCGGTGTATTGCAGCTGGCTGCCCCATCCGGATTTTTCCGCACAGATTTGCGAAATACGCGCATCACCTGTATTAGCATAATCCTCAGAGTAGCACCTTGACCAGTAGTGTCTACAAGGTGAACAATTGTTCCTTGTGGTTAAATATTGACCGGTGATCTTAAGACAAACATTTAATATAACCGGTATTGTCGTGACGAGCTGCACGATGGGCTAATATTTGTTTATGGTTTTCAATATAATGCTTTTGACACATTTAACTGTGTAGAGCTGTTAGCTGTTAGCAAAAGTTTTAAGGACGTTGATTTTAGCTTCTCAGTAGGCAATTTATTTCTTTTTAAAATTGTTTTGGGAGTGACAGAAGTAAGGATACATTTCTAAAGCAAAATTTACATGGAACTTTCAAACCTTTAATAATCCTAAGGATGTTACTGAAGAACAACATATTTCTCAAAACCAGAGAATATCAAACGACTACAAAAGTTAGTAAGAACATTTTGGTGCGTAACAAAATAGGTAGCAGTTTGTTTTCTTTATTTCTGATACGAAAAATGTGATTTTGTTCTCAAGTTCTGTCTATTTTTTTTGTAACGCAGGCAAAAACGTGCAATCCAATTTAGCGCTGATTCTTTATACATATCTATAATACCGTCTTAGACGCGTTTGTGCCCACGATTTTCTCGTAGACATTTACCACTTAACATACATTTAAAGAGTGTTTAGAAATGTGGCAAATTATTACTCCAAACCTTGTTCACGTCATCTTAATTCCATATAGAAATAATCACAAAGACTCATTTATTAACCCACAGCTCTTTGGAAAATCATGGCGCGTACACAATAGTAGTGGAGTAAAATCAAGGACAAAATTTAAATATAGCGTGACCTAAATGAGCAGAACTAAAAATTCTTTGTGACACTACTGAACGGGCAATTCACAATACGATTTTAAATAAAAAAATCTGCGTTTTTTCTGGGTAATTAAGTTTTAAAACCTGCGTACGCTTATGTAATTCCGACATTAAGCACTTCCCATCATTAATTATATTGAGAAATATATTTTTTTTCAACGTCCGCTGTTCTAATAATAAATATCTAAATTAACGTTATTTATCTTTGAGAGATGGTGTAACTATTTTTAGACATTAGCAAATACATTTGGATAACAATACTGTTAATTACTGTAATTCGTTTGGTGTCAACGGATATTTTAATGACCTGAAACGAAATGAAATTTATCTCAACATGAAATAGATAACATCAAAGTTTTGTCATCATTTCGAATATAGTTTTAAATTCAATTGTAAAATGTTATTTCAAAATTAAATAAGACTTGCACCTAATTAAGAAAGACTGCAAATCTAATGTCTGTTCAGACTTTAGAAAAGAACCTGATTTTTCCGGAAAACTGTTAAAGATAAGTATGGACAACCTTATATCAACCTAAATACTGATACTAACGGAAAAAATACAATTCACTTATAAAGCCTTTTTTATCAGTTATACCGCATTTGCATAATTAATCGTATACTACACTCTTTCACAAATGTATGTCAGTATAGTATAAATGCATGTAAATGGCATACTTTTTATGTATTTATTTATTGTATGGACACTAGTAACAACCATTACAAACACAAACAAATTTAAATGCGCAGTACGTCCCGTATTTTCTGGGAAATCAAGGCTTGGCGATTAAATGTGCCAGCAATATATTTTATTTGCGTTTTTTTCAATAGCGATAATTATATTGTGTAAAACATAAAACATATTTTAACTGACTGTAAATTTCAATTAATGGCATTTACAATCCCGGAAGAATGCCCCATATATTCAAATAGAATCAAATAGATATGTCGGAGCACAATTTTCCGTAATTTTGTTAATTGTAATAATTAAAATCATGTCTAGTATAATTACTAGAAACTGTGTGAGGTCCAGTATTACAGATAAGTTCTTAACTGATCATGCTGAAATAGAATCCTAGTTGTTCTACATCTGACTAGATTGTATAATAAATATCAAGTAAACATTCCTTTTTAATAATTAAACATATGAATGGCTGATATTATCTCATGACAATATCGTATACGCGGAGAACAGTCTTTAACCGAAGATATTGTGACAAACAACTACTCTGCGGTCTAATGTCCCGACCAGCATTGGTTTATACCAGCAATATCTACTAAACAGATAGGATCGTTCGTCAGCAGAACCACCAGACATACAGATTTCGACCTAGTAGTAACTATTCATAGATGTAGCACTTTATTATTTCTTATCCATACTTTTTTTGTTGTCTCACCTGTGGCGTAACTAATAAATTCAGAATCGGTATATCTCTGGTGGTTCTGCTGACCAATTTTTCAGTGATGGTCGGGGTACTGTGTGGCCGAGTAGTGA